ACTTTAGTCAATCAGATGTGCAGGTACATTTTCCAAGAAGCTACTTCAGAGAGTGAACCAGTCGGTTCTCTTGTTTACCTCACAAATGTGCGGTGGATGATGCTCGTTATTGCTATCCGTTTGCAGAGTTGTAAAACAGTTCATATCTTCCTATAAACTACTGTGCAGTGTTAGCCATGGCAATATAAATATAACCGGATTCCCTATAGCTTGTGTTTTATGTTCTTACTGGTACCTGGAGCAACACGCCTCCTTTAACGCAGCCCGTAGAGACAGCACACATGTTGGTTATTATTTAATATGAATTCATTTTGTAATTTTTATTTTACTAATGTATTTATTATTGTCAGTCAAACTGACCGACTTATTCACTGAATGTGAATTTTATTCACTGGAAGCTCCACACAGCTTTTATTTTGAAGTCAGTCCTTAGACCCTCATCCCAGGTAGTACGAGCTGCAAGTACATCGAGTATACTCGATATATCGGCCACCCCTACACCCATGTTTTTACACGAGGACGGAAAATTGTGGTTTGAGCTCGAGAGTCTCAGCTCATTGTTGGCTGTTCACGCACAACTTCACTGTTCTGGTTCACTCTCATAGTGTCGTTTCCCTCCACAGCAGGCAAAAAAAAAAAGCTCTAAAAACCAAAATCATTTGTTGAATTGTATTATTTATTTTTTCAACCAGGACATTTATTAGAAAATGTACTGCAACATCATCAGTGGACGCAGTAAAAGCAGAAGATGAAAGAGGCAGGGATGACAGTGAGCTCCCTTAAATGGAAATGTGCAGATGAAAGCTGACTGGGCAAAAAGCAAATGCTGACTTGCTAATATATGTGTAGATATGTGAGGTTTGGTTCATACACAATGAGATGAGCTACTGTAACAGACATCCTGTCAGAAAAGCGATATGAAAATACCTTCGAAATTTCCTTTTATTGCTATTTTTAAATCTAACCACTGACTTCTGGTACTTAATCTTTGTGCAAACTGGATTCAAGCCTCTGCATAAGATGTGCAGAAGTCCTGGCTCATCAAAAAAGGGCCGTCTACTTCAATCTCCCCTTATCATCAGAGTGTGCACGATGCACGTGAGAGCCCTCCACCACCAAAGTAAAAGTACCATAAACTTATGAGCATAACTTCCCTTCTGAACATCTGCTTCCCACGACTTATCGAGCCATCACTGCTGCTTCTAGCTCACAACAACGCTCGGTATCTACTTCTGTAAACTGATGCTACGGTCACTTGTAAAATACAGTAATACAGTATCAGCAGCTTTCACAATCAGTAACCATTGGACTGCAGGAACACCGACACATCCGAGTAGACAGTATTTGAAGTATAAAAACGACAGTTTGCCGTTTTGTGGGGGGGAAGAGACTCCAGGAAGTTACTGTGAATGGCCAACAATGAACCCCCAGTAAAATGGGCCATTGTGATTTTAACTCTGTTTTTTGTAGAGATTAAACAAACAAGATATAACAGGTTAATGAGTGAACTTTAGAGGTGCTGGTAGGCGGCTTTATTCCAGCTACATACCTCACGCTGTCTCCTGTCTTTATGCTAAGCTAAGCTAACTGGCTGCAGCTTCCTGTTTAACAGACAGATACCAGAGCTGTGCCAATCTTCTCATCTGACTCTCTTCCCAAAATGTTTCCAAAAAAACTGTTAATCAAAATGAAGATCAATCAGTTGATCAGCAACATTAAACTTTAAAGTCCGGTATACATTAAGCTTTGTGTATCATAGTCATTTGTCTGTTTGCTTATGAATGATCGGTAAAGTTTTGTATCACGGGTTATGAATTTCAATTCATAACCCGTAAATATGATCTCTTTTTAAGAATTTTCTTTAAAGAACTTAGATTTTAAAAGATAAACTACTATCAAGGCTCACCAGTGAGAAAACGTATCCATCATAGAAAACATAGTCGCTGAAATTCAAAGTACAACGGTTACTGAATGTAGTGTGTTCTTAACAATGTGTGTCTGTGTGGACGTCAGTGACAGACCACGTGTACATGTGTGAGTATCTGCTGGAGCGCCTGTGCGCATGCATGTGACGCGACATGACCCAGCCGTAATCGCTGAGCTCACCGCCAGCCAATGTGCCCTCCCTGAGCTGAAGAGAATACGGCTTGCACGCACACGCGCACACACACACACACACACACACACACATAAACCTTGTAAGTACAAGCAATACTCCAAAGTAGTCCAGCTATTAAACCAACCAATGCCAACATACTGTACGTTCAGTTTTTGCAAACACTAACAAGTGGATATGTTAATGTAAGTGGGAGTGTGTGTGTGTGTGTGCTCCAGCCATGAAGTATTAGTGTTCATGTGTGCATGAAGACGATATCATTTACAAGGCCGTTACTGTAGGTGACGACATGTTTTTGATTGTGATATCTTGGCTATGAATTGGGATTATTTTTGCGTGTTTTCTGGTTTATGAAATAACCTGTTTTTTACACTCTTGTGAGAATCAAATCCTTGACAAATGAAAAAGATGAGAATTTTTCATTTAATTAAGAACTTCAGTGCAAAAATGATCAGATTTTCAAATACATTTGAGTCAGTATGAGGGATCTCAATGTACGATTCCATCACAATATGATTCCATTGCAAGATTTCCATACTGAATTATCGCCCAGTCCTAGTTTAAAACCTGTCCAATCATCTGACTGCTCGTCTTTCTTTAACTTCCTCTTTAATGTCGTTGGTCAGTTCAATATTATCATGAACTAAATGAACAATAACCGCAACTACGAAAAGAAGACCCGAGTTATAATTAACCAGAAATATTCTTCAACACAAAGGTGCCTGTCCCAGGGACACACTCCTTGCCTTTCTTTCAGATCTATAGGCATGGGGTGCGTGCGTGTGCATGCGTGCGTGCGCGTGTGCGTGCGTAGAGCGGGTTGCTTCTTGTGTTTGTGAACAGCATATTGGCAGCACCAGCACATTTCAGCTCTGATTAAGGACAACGAGCACTGAAGGAGAAACTAATGTGTGTATTTCACAATGAGAAGCTGTACTCAGACAGGCCTCGTACGCAGAGTGAGAACCGTTAAGTGGGTGAGAGGGAATGTGTGCAACTGTGCTTCAAGTGAGAAAAGAGCAGTCGTCTATGCGTTTTTGTGATAACTCTGACCACGACCCAGACACACACAGTCTCTCTGCCAGACAGCCTATGGGATGAGGAGTTTCACCCCTGCTGTTGCCGGGTTACTAGCTCCGGACCACTGCCAACGCAGCCTCCCTCCCTCCCACCCACCCACCCCCACACCCACACAGGTTTCAAGATCTTTCCTCAAATCAATCTTTTGTTTACAAAGAAGGGAGGGAAGGGAGGAAACAACATAAGAATGAGGGTTTTTGAGAAGGTTCAGAAGGAGCAATTCCCTCTGCATCCCCGGGGAAAAGAGCAGCCGGATCAGTCCAGAACTGGCCCCGATCTGCACTTCATATCATCACTCAACCTTTGATGAAACCTCTTGCATACACACAGAGAGAGAGAGAGACTGCAACATGCTCACACACATAGACAAGAAGAGTCACGGTGAAGGATTGATGGAACTCGTGTGCAAAGCCAAACACATGCGACATGGCAGGAGGAACGCCATGACACACATGGCAGAGCAACAGGCGGACTAATGACAACGACAACAAATCTGCCACAAAGACTGAAGCACAGACTGAAGCTGCATGTGAACGCAAACACACACACACGTCATAATTCTGAATTGACCACACAAATCCAGGTTATTACAACTTATTGCTGTAGTTTAGCTTAATTTCTAATGGCCACTCTTTTATCAGAAATCCCAACTAATATTTAAAAGTGGTATAAAACAAATGTAAAATTTGTGATAATCCGTTCAGCCGTCCCTTCAAAGGACTTTGTGAAGGAAACAAAACTGCCTTGTAATGTTAGCTCATCACTGAAACGCGGCAGCAGAGACTGCAACGGAACATGGAAACCACATTTCACCAGACAAAAGTCACATACATGCTGAAATAGCAGGCAGGCCAAAACTCTATTTAATCTTACAATAGACAACATTAGCAGTGATTGAATTATTGTGAGCAAATTTGATTTTAGTTTGAATACAATCAAACGTGATTTGTTATTTTAAATGGCAGCCATAATGGCAATAATCCCTCATTGCCCGGACTACTTAACCCCAATTTATGTGTTTTATCGTCACATTTGAGTCCCATATCTAAGCATCTGTGACTCGAATACAAGAGGGACAAACACGGAGCTAAAGGAAACTGCGTGCACGAACAAGTATGGCGAGTATGTTACAGTAGGTCAAAGTTGAACCAGGAAGTCACTCAGAAAATATGGCTAATCTGGGGGGGTTGAAAGTCGGTTTGATCCTCTGACTGCTCATGTTTCTGGCTCAGTTTGACTTATTTTTAGTAACGTTGCCTTGTTTTAAAATCCCACGTTTGAAGGAGCAACATAACATCTATAAATGTTGTCATTTATCTGGAGTGAATATTTACACCCTCCCATAAAACAAGGTGCAAGTACGCTGTTATCACAGCCTACACAAACCACGGCCAAAACTATTAAAGCAACAACTTTCCTCCGTTTCTTCCTACGAGCTGCTGTGAAAGCGGAGGATATTTTAGGCTGAGGTGGAGCTGATGAGAAAGCACCAACGGTAACCATAACAAACCAAAAACGGTTTCGCAGACAGCTGCCAAAGAGCCACTGAACCTCACGGCACAACCTGAGCCCCAGCTCTGCCAAAAAGGCCTCCAGCTCTTCAGGAATCCCCGCTGACATGGAGAGGACGGAGCGCCTGTGATCGCTGCTCTTCAGGAAAACAAACTCACAAACCCGCAGCCCAACCGACACCATCGAGCGGCTACAGCGGCCCGGCCGTCGTCAGCTTTCAGTTCGCATAACTTCACGTTTGCTCCTTGACTGCAAACGCCGAGTGACACAATGCCTTGTCCGCTGCGCTTACCTCTGGCCGAGAGCTTTTTTGTGTTGATGATTTTAGCAGCATACTCCTGGCCGGTGGACTTCTTGACGCATCGGCGGACGATAGAGAAGGCACCCCTGGAGCAGGAAACAAAAAAACAAAAAAAAGAAACAAATCAGTGGAATCACTTGAAAACATAAAAGTCTCCATCACGTCTGTGTGTGGCAATCGGAGAGTGCATGAACTTGTCACACGCAGAGGGGGCACGCATGAATCACATACACCTAAAGAGAAGAAAAAGAAGGGAAACAGAAGTCACATGCATAATTAATACAGTCTGATATTCTGTGTGTGAGATGTGAGAAGAGGTCCTGGCTACTAGTGCGTGAGAGAGAGCGAGAGAGAGGGGGGGGGTTCATTGTGAAAGTACCCAGTCATTAGCTTACAGGAAGGAAACGTGAGTACAGGAGAGTGAAGCTACTGAAAGGTAGAATTAACGTTGCATTTTTTCCACAGACGCCTCCTTTAAAGTCCCGCTGTCGGCTGTATTAGAAGGTGGAGCGGCTCCATTAGCCACACGCACGCAGATTAGATGTTACAAAGTGGCTTTGTAGCCAGGATACACACTGCAACATATGTGTCCTTTCATGTTTTAATCCTCAATTGCAGTACATGTGTGTGGTGCGCATAGACAAAATGTGCAACGGCCACAGTATTTTTCCTTTTTTTGTGTGTGCGTACACACACACACACACACACACACACACACACAGTAGCCCTGCAGTCTGCTTAGAAATGCACAAAAAAAACACAGAGCTGAATGATTGAAGAGGAGCGCGAGAAGGATGGGGTGCGTGCAAAACGAGTTTTCGACGCGTGCTACCTGCAGCTAAATTGACAAACAAGTTGGTCCTCTACGCGGATGCTTCACACCTTTTTCGGGTTACAAAAAGGGAGCCACAATGGTGCGATATGCCTTGTTTACACGCACCCAGGGTTAAACACGAGCCTCTGTAGTGCTAACAGGAAACCTGCTCACAGCGTGCTGTTGCTGAGGCGCTTATCCTACCCTTCCATGTTTTTGACAGCCCTTCTCCTGCCTTGTCAACACCGAAGTAAACGCGCACAATGGCAGCAGCAGAGGAGACAAACGTGCAAACACATACACACACTGAATGCAACAAGAGCGGCGGTCGCTTACTTTCCGAGTTCCTCGAACAGCTGATATTCGTCTGTGAATCTGGTCGAGGTTACAACTGTAGACATGTTGACAGAAGTGTTTCGGGGGAGAGGGGGGAATCGCCTCGCGCTTCAGTGGCCGCCTCGCGCAGGTTTGGAGAGGAGAACTCGTGAAGGCAGAGAGGGGGAAGAGAGGCTCGAGCTCTGAGAGAAGAGCAGGGAGTGGGAGGGGAGGGAGGAGAGAGAGCGGCCTAGCCGTAGTAACAAAGATCCTCTATTAAGATCATGAGCCACTCTGTTTGAAAAGAGAACATAAATGGAAATTGTATTGGTCGTTAGCCATCTAATTCTATTCCTGACCTGATGTAACATTTTTGTAACATTTTCTATTTGATCCTTTATTTCCTTTTTTCTTTTTTATAATGTAAGTATATTAAAGTCAGGTGAAATAATGTGGTGTGCATATTTGCTTTATAAATAAAACAAATAAATAAAAGTCTTTTGTTTCTTTAGTCACTCAACGAACAAAAGTGTTCTTTGGAGTCTACAACAAAGAAAGACATCCAAGGCACTCCAAGGGTGTTTGTTCATACACCAAAGTATTGGACAAATAAAAATGTTGACCTGATGGAGACACTAGAGGGAGTGAAGGGATCCCCGAAGTTATTACATTTCATCCTAAAGGGAACATAAATGTCTGTACTACATTTCATGACAATTGGTGGGGATATTTCAGTTTGGACACAAGTGGTGGAGCGATCGACATCTGCATCCCTAAAGCCGTGCCACTAGCTGAAATAGTCTCTCAGCATGTAAGCCATGCTGATATGAAGACGAATTAGTTGGGCAACTTATTTTCTAAAATAACCTAAAGATCAAATTATTGATAAAGGTGCTAAATTAAAAATTCAGAAACCAGAAATAACGGCAGAGTGAGACCCCCTTCTGCTTTCTCCTCTCTGGCAGCAGCAGTAGAGGTGGGATGTAAGCCACGCGAGATCTTTGCTGGTGTACCAGGAGCTACAGATCCAGGTTCAGTTTCACCATATCTCCCTTCCCCCTTCGACCTATTTGCGCAGAGGTAAAGCTGACACCAGAACAGCTGAACAGAGCGGCATCCTTCGAAGACTAAGCCATGTAGAGAGATGGGATGCCGCAATATTTTAATATTGGCACAGAGCAATGAGCTGCATGGCCACAGTATTATGGTAAAATGGTTTCATTTGCTGATCTGGGCTTCCGATAAATGGATGATCAGTCACCATTAAGATGTGACATCACGAGACAATAATGATTCAGTATTTAGATTTTACATTTTACATATTCTGTTTGTTTTTCTCCCTTTTATGAACCATTTTAGAATTCATATTCAGCAACAAAAATCGTATCCAAATCTTCTTAGTAGGCTCATTCAGCCTTTTTAAAACTCTTGCTACGTAAACAATTTTATGTTTCTTTTAAACTTTTCTTTTCTTTTTATAGTTTTGCAGTTTTCAAACACAGATGCCTGTCCAATATAGACATGCAGTGTAAACTGTGCCAATGTGCTTCATTGGGGTCAAGTTTGCTGTTGGTAATGGTGTTTTGTTTTGAAAACAGTAAAGATTGGGGATTTATTCATTGAAATATTATCTGAGGACTTGTAAAGACTCAACATTAGATATTTGTTTCAAAGATTCTTCATGAATACCTCTCTCATCATCATTATCAAAAAAAATGTTTTCATAGACGTCACAATCATAGACGTCGCCCTAATTTATTTAGGACCAGTGCATCATCCCCACTGTAATTTATAAAACACAATTTCACTAAGAATAAAAAACATATACCTAAAATAAATACAAAACAGAGACATAAATCAGTTTGAGAGCAGATATCTGATTACCTGCAGTTTACCATCTAGAGCAGCCTGCTAAGGTAGTCGAGGCTTCGATCCGACTCATATGCAGTTTTAGGGATTTAAACTGTAAACTGGAGCATCATTGTATAAGAGACAGGGAATTATAGGCGTTATGTAACGGCCTGCTGCACTGTAAAGGTTTATCTGAGCTTTCATGAATATCTCATGCAGGGTATTAATATATCCTCTTGGCACCATGTTTAAGTATGTATGTGTGTTTGTGGGTGATTACAGCTGCACAGTGTAATGTGACGAGCTTACTGTATGTCAACACTTTCTTTTTTGATGCGTTGATTGATCTGCATAGTACAGTATTTTAAATAATCATGTGTTTCTTTAGTCTTATATGATGAAAAAGTACTTTCTGGAGCATTTCAGTCATATCACATGATCTTCATGCAGATGGCTTCCGAGCACTTTAAAGCTGCTCCAATGAATTTACATTAATAATGGTCAAATGACTATACCTTTAATATAAAACGTGTCACTTCTCATCTGTTCCTATCCAGCTCTACAGAGTGTTTCAGCTCACTCTTTGGTTTCACAGCCCACTGTTGTGGTTCACTGTCACTGCTCTCATCAACATCGCTTCCGGCTTAAAAAAAAGCTTGAAAAACCCACTGTGCACCACCTGCCCAACACCAAACTGCAGACGATAAGTGAGCAAGTATAGCTGGTGAACAGAGTGGAGCATTTAGCAACTAAAGAGCTGGAAATTTCCCTCAGGAGTTGTTAGTGACCAAATAAAAGAGAGTAAATAGAGAAAGTTAGGTACGTGTATCAGAGGAGAAATATGACAAAATCTGGTCATCATTTGACATATGTTGAAAAACTCTATCTCAGCATAAATCTGATTTTTCACAACTGTTGATGGATGCACTATAGCTTTTAAAGGGAAGCAATGCACTATGACAGATATTATGTGTATGACTATAAGAGCTATAAATGTCACTAATTCTATTAAATTGGTTGTGGAATCCTATTAATACCATAAGTGTTATTATTTATTTACATTTATTTTGTTGTTTTCAGTATGTATTTATGTATTTTGTTGATAGATATTTATTTTATTTTTGGATACATGTATATTTTTGTAATTAGAGTTTTGTATTCTAATTGTCAGCCCTGGTGATGGGGGAAGGGGTTAAACTCATGTCATGTCTACTCAAGCATTCGGATTTCTGTATTTTTGTGACGGCAAACCTATATAAATAAAGTTGAACCAAAAAAAAAGAGATATGACTGTTGGTCTTGAATTCAAATTCTAAATGAATGACAATGTTGCTCCCTGTCTGTGGTATGTTTAAATAAGCAACTCTTTCCACAGTTTTCCACTCCAACACAGTAAGGTGATAATATGTCAGTGGTCTTTATACAGCTTGTTTGCCTTAACTCGCCGAAAAAATCCGTTAAGGACTTCTGATCTATGTTACTTTCAGATATAGATCAAAAGCTCCAGAACAGCTAAATGCTGTCTTTGACTCATGTTCAATTCAACCATCTTTTTACAGGAAAATTAAATAAAATCATTACACAGACTGTCTGTGTGGTTCTATTTTGTTCTTGTTTCCTGTTGCCAGCATTACTGACAGATGATGACATGGACAATAGTACGAAAAGGTCAGCACAATGCATTTAACACGTTCACTATGTGTAAATGCATACATGTGCATCTCGTTTTTCTCTCTTGGCCTTGCCTCTGAACTGTGAGTGTATATCTGGCACAGTGTTTAGAGAGCACTGTGATTAATGGGTGTTGGCAGTGAGCACAGGACCAGTTTCTGCCGTCACTACAGGGAGCTGCTCTGAAGCTTAATTAGCGAGGGTGCAGAGGTACCCTGGTATTAATTGCTGAATTGCCGTGTTTATTGATGATGAGCCTGTCAGACGAGTCTTGGACAAGCTGTGCAGCGGCACTATACTTGCAAAACCTTGTCAAGAGATGCGTATCCCCATGAGCTTTGAGGAAATTTCACCAAAACAGTGGTTTCCCTTTAAACCTGAGTATTGTATTTGAGTCAGCTATTTTTAAGAAGCCTGAAAATGGAACGCTACTGCTGAATATTACATCAGAAAAGGGGAAAGATTGGAAAAAGTGGATATAATTTTGTGTGACTGAAGATGTTTTTTATTTTGCCTTATTATAAATCTCGCCATCCTCTCATACCTATCTTGTAACCCATTGCTACCACTGGTGCGCTATAGACCTAGGGAGGAAGAAGCAGGTTAAGTAATACATGAGATGTAAAGTGAGGAGGTCAGCAACACATCATACATCAAATAAAACGTCCTTCCTCTCTCACACACACACACACACACACACACACACACACACACACACACACACAGGCTCAACAGGCTTCATGTTGGTGTAGGTAATTGCCTCTCATAAGTAATGATTCACTGTACTGTCCTGTTTGGATAGCTCTCGCCTCATCACATGACACTTATTTAACATTGGCATCAACCTGCCAGGAGTGGGTGCGTAGCGAGTCTACAGCTAAAGACAGATGACACATCAGCATTGCAGGTTATGTTAAATAATATACAGTACATAAATAAATATTGCATTGATTTTACATACAAAACATATAATAAATGTGTTAAATGAAGCTTAATATGATGACACATTAGAGGCCTTGCACAAGTTGTTTCATTAACATGTCTGTACTCATGTTGGAGTCATGCAAAGGTATACACTGGTGATCATGTACTAATAAAAATGATACGGTTGTTAATTGTCCGACACGCTGCACACGATAACTTATCTGTTGTGCATGAGATAGAAAATATCATCATCTCTTATGCTACAAGCTAAAGGTCCATGCAGTGATGATGCTGTGACAGCAGTGTTGTGGAGCCACAGAGGCCGAAGGGGAATGACTCAATCTGCAGGAATGTTTTCAACTTGGCTCACGGCTGACCAGTAACATCACATGACTTTAATGGTTTTGAGATGTGTGTGCGTGTGTGTGTGTGTGCATGTGTGTGTATCTCAAGGAGGGACCTCTGTCATTCTCTATCACCTAACCCCCAGAGGTCAAACCTTCCTATCAGCTGCTGAGCTGCACTGAGACAGCTCGTTGGACGTCAGTGAGTAAATCTCTTTTCAGGTTTCAACAGTTTCCTTGGGAACAAACTGTCATGCACAGTGCATTAAAGTAGATCTATATTACCTTTCTTTGCCATTTACTAAACTGTCACATTGTCCCAAATAAGCATCTAATAGCACATCAGGGCTGTTTCAGTGGCTAATGTGTTGCAATTTACAGTGCAAAAGACTCTGGCGATTGAGTCGTTGATGCTTCTCTGTCTCACTGAATGAGTGTAGAGAAAGGGCTGCATCTACTTTCAGTGTGTCTTATCTAGAACACAATGTCCAACTCAAGGAAATGAAGTTATATTTAAAACAGCTCCATGAGCCTTTTGTGTTTAACTTCACGACTTCACCAAAGAATCTTAAGATCTGAAGTTGGCCTTACCTTCAGCTGATTATCCAACAGTGGATATGACAGCACCCGCCCACGTACTGGATAGCACTATGTGTTCATCTGTGTGTGTGTGTATTTGTGTGACACCTCCTTCGTGATTTATATAATCTGACGGTGCCTTATTTCTGCGGGCCATCACAGTACAGTATACTGGGAATCAGATGTGTGGGCATCTAACGATTGTCTTCACATGTACGGGACTCTGAGCAACATTCCTACTGTTAACCCAAAGCAGTCTCATCAAATCTCATCACCGAGGTCCAGTTGTGATGGTATGAGGTTTTCTCTGTGTGTGTTTGTTGCATGCACATATACGGGAAAGGGACAAAGTGCCTTCAGCTTCAATGCTCCTTGAAATGATGCTATATGAGTCATGATCTCTGTGCAGATGGATTCTTTGAGAATAGAAAGACCCCACATGTTTGATTTCCAGTCCTTCTCATAAAGATGGAGTTCACAGAAATTATTTTAATTTGTGAAACTACTTTTAAAATTCTATAGCAATATTGTGTTTAGAGAGAAGACTGGCAGCCCTGTACAATTTTTCTATCTCTATAGCGCTTTCTTTACTAACAAGGGCCAATCACATTTTTTATTTTTACCAACCTCTTGTTTTGAGTGTCCCTTCATTTTCGACTTTACCCTTGGAACAGTTACAAGGGGTAATGGTTGAAATCTTGCCCTATGCAATGGGACAACCCCTCGAGACACTAATACTTCATTAGTAGTCACTTCATGACAGAATAGCGGTGCCCTGTTAGCTGGTAACCCTATGTCCGTCAACTGTGTCTGTAAATTGAAATTTTCACCGCTATCCCCTTTCAAACCGTTTTGTCTGTGAAACCTGGCCTTCTCAAAAAACAAAAACAAATGACATGTGACTGGTAATGTCAATACTCATTAGCTCACCCAATTTGAGATTAAAATTAGTCCCTGAGAGCCACAGACTGTAGGGAAGCCCAAAAATACTGCGAGACGATTTTTCTTTTCTTTTACGATTAATATTGGTCCTTTGATGGGATTTGGGATTTGTCAATACTCATAAAAGCCTTATCCTTTAAACTTGAAGATTTCCCAACTTTCACTTTATCCTAGTAGTCGCTGTGTGTTATGTATGCAGTTTCACTTAACAAGATATTTTAATCAGATCTACAAGCTTTTCAGACATGACAGCCCCCTGCAGCCCCCGGGGAACTCTTCTCTTCCCTCCTCCACTCTTTTTACTTAACTGTATGCCACAGAGCTCTGAGCAGAAACATGGCTAATGCTTCTAACTCAATCTTGCAAATGAGCACAAACAAGTGAGTAGGATGAGGAGCAAAATGAGACAGAAAGACAAGGGGGGTGACTTGCAGAGGGAATGAGCAAGGCGCTGAGGGATAAATGGGGAGGGTGGGGGGGGGGGGGTTGACAGGGAGGGAGGAGGAGGCAAGCGGGGAAGAAACAGTGAAGAAGGACAGTTGAATATTCATTATCAGGCCGCTGGGGAGAAACCAGCACAGAAACACTTGTACATCCACACACACACACACACACACACACACACACACACACACACACACAC